TAGTCCCGCCTTAGACAGGAAAGCCATCTGGGTGACTGGGCCAGTCCCTTTCCATCAGCCCAACCCACCTCACAGGGTTGTTGTATTAGAGAAAATAGGAGGAGGGAGGTGTGCTGGATATCTTTGTCGCCTTGAGTTATTTGTGAAATAATAAAGGTGGGAAACAAACAAACATATGAGCAATGTGTTCGTTTGTTCATAAACATCCTTCTTGGAAAACACGGCCTTTTTATGTTGATCCTGGGAAGCCTCAGATTCCCAGAAAAAAAGGATTGGCTGGTACAAGATTACAATGTAAGAAGAATATAATAATGATAATGATAATGATGATGATGATGATGATGATGATGATGATGATGATGATAATAATAATAATAATAATAATAATAATAATAGGGTAGGGTAGGGAAGAGAAGAGAAGAGAAGAGAAGAGAAGAGGGAGGGAGGGAGGGAAGGAAGGAAGGAGAAGAGAAGAAAGAGAGGGAGGGAGGGAGAGAAGAGAAGAGAAAGGGAGGGAGAGGGAGAAAAGAAGAGAGAGAGAGAGGGAGGAGGAAAGGAGAGAAGAGGGAAGGAAGGAGGGAGAGAGGGAAGGAGAAGAGAAGGGAAGGGAAGGGAAGAGAAGAGAAGAGAAAGGGAGGGAAGGAAGGAAGGAGAAAAGAAGAGAGAGAGGAAGGGAGGAGGAAGGAGAAGAGAAGAGGGAAGGAAGGAGGGAGGGAGGGAAGGAAGGAAGGAGAAGAGAAGAAAGAGAGGGAGGAAGGGAGAGAAGAGAAGAGAAACGAAGCGAAGAGAAGAAGAGGAGAGTACTTTATTTGGCCAAGTGTGAGTAGACATACAAGGAATTTGTCTCAGCTGCAGAAGCTCTCAATGTACATGCAAAACAGACAATAAAACAATAAAAGAGGCAATGAATAGAAAGTGTTGGCCTCATTTCAACATACCTGGAGATGAAGAAATGCGGGAAAACACCAGAATGATGTTAGCTAACAGCCTTTTCACTTCCTGCTTTCTGGCTCCTTCCTAGGTGTGAATTTTAAGCACTTTCCCCTCTTACCAGGGACCTGCGCAAAACCTGGTCCAGGATTTCAGATTCTTGGATGTATGTCACACTAAGCCACAAAATGATTGTGTTTCAGGACAGTTCTGGGATTTGGGTGGGAGATTTCAATGACTTTTGCTTTCAAGGGGGGGGGGAATGGAGGGGGGTTGACAGAAGTTGCAAGGAACAGAAAGGGGGGCGGTTGCAAAGAAATAATCTGACCCCCCTTTCCAAGCCTCAAAGCCAAGGAATCCCAGCTGAGGCTCTCCGGCGTTCCTCCATTAGACGTTGGCCGCTTTCACACGACCTGCTTCCCCGGGAGATTGACGTTTCCTGGCTTCGCACGTTATGCAAGGAATCCCGCATTAGCTGGGGAAAGGGGGCGGCGCTGCTCGGCCCGAGAGCAGCCTTCGCACATTTGTCCCTCTCTCTCCCCCACCGATGCAGCTGCTCTTAGCGAGGCCGGTCGGTTCGTGTGAATGCAACACGCGAGCAAAGCAGAGTACACACATAAACACAGAGAGAGCGAGAGAGAGCGAGTGGTTGAGCTTGTCTGGCTTTGAAAGATAACGCCGGATCTCGTTAGAGCTTGGAAAGGTGACCACGAGGAAACGCCCGACTGTGTTTCAGATTCGAACCAACCGAGTCGCACCAAGATTGAAAGAAGACTCTACCGCACTCTTAAAGTCACTTGGAGGGGGTTCAGATGGCTCAGAAAACACGCGGGATTCCAAGGAGTCTTTATTTCTATGTGTGAATGTGCCTTCGTCCACTCATTAAACGCGGAATGTAACACAGGGGCATTGGGAAAGACGCCCTAACCTGGTTCCCGAATCAACCTAGCTGGTTTTTGCCTTTGCAAACTGCCCTCGGCCATCCCCAAGCCAACGAAACACAGAAAAGTTAATCAAGGTTCAAATTACTCTGGTTGAGCCATGGAAATGTAAAAAGTGGTTTTTCTCTCTGCCCCGATGAAGCCTGTGGTGAGAACGCGGGCCCTGAACAAATGCGTGTCATTATCTAAAATCTGCCCACGTGGATAAAACCTATATTTTTTTCACAATCCCCAAAAGGTAGGCATACCATATGCCTATTTCCATTCTTTAGCAATTGCTAGAAAGATTAAGGTCCCTGTTAGGGTTTGTATTTGTGGATTATATCTGAGGATGAAATATTATAATCAAATAATTGCATACATTGTTGTTGTTGTTGTTGTTGTTATTATTATTAAAATGAAAAGAGCAAAAATTATTTCTTGTTCAATAAAGTTAAGGCTAAAATTTCCATCATGGTGTAAGTTTTCCCGTGCTATGCCTGACATCAGATGCACGATGTTATCCAAAGAGAAACGTATATAAGATTTTTTTTGCCTTTATTTTAAAGTAAGTTGCCCTGACTTAAAATAGGTACGTCCAGACATTATAATAGGAACTAACACACCATTGCTCTACCAGTGTATCATTCCCATTTATTAATCTATAGAGGGTTGACCAACAAAACAAAGAAAAGCAACTAAATCTTGAATTTATGGATCAAGCCTTAACTGAAATAACTTCAGCTAGAGTTGAAAAAACCCACGACTGTCACTCAATACCCGTTTTGTCTGGTCGGATGAGGAATTCTGTGTAGTTCAAAAATGAACATATGTTGCCTACACTGAAGGCGAATCAAAGAAATGTTGTTGCTCCAAATTAATTTTATACATGGGATTTTAATTCCGGTCAGCTTCTTCTACGGGGCAAAGAACTTTGAGAAAAAAATGTGGGGAGATTAAAACGAAGCTTTGAAATTGACCACTCCGACTTTTTGCCTCTGTTAGTGAAAAGAATTCGGAAACCATCGCGCATTTAAAGAATTTGAGTCGAATCTACAATTTAAAATGTTAAAGAAATCTAAAATTTTCACCCGCCTGCGTTAAAAGCAGTCTCAGAGGTTTTGCTTTATGTGTGTGACTATTTTAAAATCCAGCTACAGTTTATTTCAAGAACGACTTTACAACATCAAGATTGCATTCCTGCGGGTTATTCTTATTCTTTTTTTTTTTTTTTAAGGGAATGGAGTTATTTAAAAATATATATTACCGGGTTCAATTTGAAACAACAGTTCCAATTTTGGAAATAAATGTCCAGTTATTCCAAAAACTTAACCCAGTGAAGTAGAGCGCTGGGCTCTCTTTCTGCTGCTAACGAAACGCATTTTCGAGGCAGTCGCTGGTGGGTTTTTAGGATCAAGTCTGAAAGAGCAACGCGACCAGATGGTTAAGCCTTCGCGCGGGTAGCAACAATAAAACGTTCCTGCGGTTCTCTTTTTTTCCTTTTAAATACCTTGCAAGAAATTAATAAAATTGAGAGGGCGGGATGGGAGAAAGGATAATGTCTAGGAACGCTCAAAAACCGAAAAACCAGTTTACAGAAGACTAAGATTTGGCGGTGGGGGCCGCGCAATGTTTAATTTCCAGCGCTATTTTTCCCAGATCTCTCGGTTGGGTGGAAAGAGCGTGTAAGGCGTTTCATACGAAGCCGGTCTACTTACTAGCGAGCAAACCCCGCTAAACGTCCAGGAGAACTAAGAAGACTGCGCTAAAGGGAACTTGGCAATCTTGGGTCTGGGATGCGACCCTGCCTGGATCAAACGGGGCTTCCAGCGGGGTAAATATAGGATCAGGCTGCGCTGGGAGTATTTGCTGGGGAGGAAGCTAATCCATTCCTTAATCGGAACCCCCAGAAATTGGTGGAACCGTGACTGGCGTTGCTAAGGTTATCTCCGCGAAGTCAGGAATGCTAACCCAGACTATTGGATGGCCTCCCCCACCCTCCTCTCCTACCTCTTCTCCTCCTCCTCCTTCTCTTCCTCTTTCTTCCTCCTCCTCCTCTTCTTCTCCTCCCCTCCTCCTCCTCCTTTCTCTTCCTTCCTCCTCCTCCTGCTCCTTCTCTTCTTTCCCTCCTCCTCCTGTTTCTCTTCCTCCTCCTCCTCCTGCTCCACCTCCTCTCCTTCCCTACTTCTTCTCCTCCTTCTCTTCCTCCTCCTCTTCCTTCCTCCTCCCCTCCTGCTCTTCTCCTTCCCTACTTCTCCTCCTTCTCTTCCTCCCCCTCCTCTTCTCCTTCCCTCCTCCTCCTCTTCCCTCCTCCTCCTCCTCCTTCTCTTCCTCTTCTTTCCTCCTCCTCCTCCTCCTCCTCCTTCTCTTCCTCCTCCTTCTTTTCTTCTTCCTCCTCCTCCTCCTCCTCCTCCTTCTCTTCCTCTTCTTTCCTCCTCCTCCTCCTCCTCCCCATCATAAATCATGATTATTCTTTATTGCAAAATTGCAACAAGGGAGATTTTTTTTCTTCTTCCCCCGGCTGCGTTTTTCCCACGCCCCCCCCCCCACAGCAAAGGACGGAGAGGGGGGGAGGCTCTTCTTTCCCAGCGCAGCTCCCTCCACGCCGCGGGACGAACCGGGCAGCTGCCATCCACCGGGCTCCCGCCTCCCCCTGGCGCCCGCCGGGCAAAGGCCGCTTCCCCGTCGCCGTCGCTGCAACAGCAGCAGCAGCAGCCGAGAAGCCCGGCGCGCGCCCGCCCGCCCAGCGCCTTCTGCCCGGGACCCCAACGTTCTGCGTTCCATTGTTCGCCCTCGGCCAATCAGCTGCCGCCGCCGCCGCCGCGGCCAATCGCCTGCGAGGGCTGCCCGGGCAGCCCTCTGTGACGTCATCCCCCGGCCTGCCCCCCCCTTTCGGGGGCTGAGTGGGTGGTCCGCGCCGTGCTGACGTCATGCTGCGTAGGGGAGACTCGCTCTGCTCTCCGGCCGGGCTGGCGGAGTTAGGCTGGAGCGGAGCAGCGGCCGGAGACGCCCCCCCCCTTTTTATTCTATTATTATTATTATTATTATTATTATCATTATTATTATTATTATTATTATTCCTCTTTTTTTTCCTCTCCCCCCTTCTTTTTTCCTTTCCGCATCACAACTTTTGCCCGCACCTCCTTCTGCATGGTGGATATTATTTTTCCTTCCCCTTTTGGAGGCGCGATGGGGGATCACGCCAAAAGTAAGTCTTTTTATTTCCTTCCCCCCCCCCCGTCTCTCTCTCGCCGCTCGGACCCCGCGCTGGGAAGCTTTGGGGCGCACGGGGAAGAGGGGGGGGGGCGCAAGGATGTCTTTGGGAAAGAAGGGGGCGCTTTGGATGGACGGCTTGGGAAAAGGAGAGAGAGAGAGAGAGAGGTGCAAAAATAAGAGTTATTAATATGGTTAGTTTGGTTCGTCGCACAGTCAGCCAGATGTTCAGACTTGATTTGGCATTTTTGTCTACCTAGTGAATCCTTTCCAAGGCGGATCCGGATGTTTGAGAGTGTTACAATTATTGCTGTTGCTACTATTATTACTATTACTATTACTATTATTTATTATTATTATTATTATTATTATTATTATTATTATTATTATTATTATTATTATTATTATTATTATTATTATTATTATTATTATTATTATTATTATTATTATTATTTTGTTGTCATCATCATCTTCAGTTCGATTCACAGTCTGGGACTGGTAAAAACTTAACAGTTCAGGTCCTAACCAAGGACCTAAGAGCTGTTAAGGTAACGTCTGAGTATATAGGCAGTTCCGAGGAGTAACGTGGTTTTCCGCAAAGAATATTCAGGTCTAATAAGTTCAAAATTTCCATGCCTCAATTGGGTGTTGCTCCCAGGGGCTCCTGTTACTATTGGTACAACCGCTGAATTCTTCCATTATTATTATTATTATTATTATTATTATTATTATTATTATTATTATTATTATTATTATTATTATTATTATTATTATTCCTGCTACTGGGAGATCAATTCAGAGTGCCTTGCAGAAAGCAGTTTTCGTTCATCTTTATAGTTCCTCCTTTAATGTTGTTAATTGGGCTTGATTGCCCCCATAAGTGAGCCCCTCGCCAGAAAGTGTCCAAGGTAAAGGAGATGATGATGATGATGATGATGATGATGATGATGATGATGATGATGATGATCTGCATCTTTTCATCGGGAAAATCTTTTCCACCGCTTCTGGGAAACGGGGCGAGGGAAAGAAACGGCTGGCGAAACGGCCAGGCCGACGTCGTCCTCCCGCTGCTTTTTCCTCCCCCCCCCCGGTTTCCCTTTTGGGGGGCTCGGCGACCCCCTTTCGGGGCTTCGGAGGGGCCTTTTCGTTCGGCCGGGTCGGGCTTCTTCAGCCCAGCCGTTTCCCCCTCGCCAAGTTGTCCTGAGTGTCCTTTGCTGTTTTTCTTTCCCCCTTACCCCCCACCCCTTCCCACCCGGGCAGAGAAAGCGGGGACCGCCACGTGCGTGGGCTGCGGGAGCGAAATCCACGACCAGTACATCCTGAAGGTCTCGCCCGACCTGGAGTGGCACGCGGCCTGTCTGAAGTGCGCGGACTGCAGCCAATACCTGGACGAGACCTGCACCTGCTTCGTGCGCGACGGGAAGACCTACTGTAAAAGAGATTACATCAGGTAGAAGAGCCCCCCCTCTTTCTTTCTAAGCAGGGGACCCCCCCCCTTTATTTTGAAGCTTCTCCTGGGGAGCTTTCCGCGGGCGAGCGTGGACCCTTCCCCTGGGACTGTGGGCCTCTTTGGTGAGGGGGAGTTGGGGGCTTTGGTCCCCGAAAGAGACTCGCCGCCCTCTACTGCCCTCCCTCCCCCCGCAGCGTTTAGTGGGAGTTTTCTTTTGGGGGAGTGGGATGTAAGGGGGGTCGCCGAAGGTGGAGCGAGAGTGGCGCGTGGGCTTTGAAGCCCTGATGGCCGGAAGTTCAGGACGCCTTGCCAGGGGAATCCTCTGTCACTCGCCCCCCCCCATACACACACACACACTCACACACACTCACACACACACACACACAGAGAGACTAAGGGCAACGCTCACCTGAAAGCCTTACTGTGAATTTCAAGGAGGGGGAGGAAGCCTGGCCTAGGCACACACATACACGCGTGCCTTTTATAAAATTGGGGACACAAACCTTTGCACGCCCCCTTCCCTTTAAGGTCTCAGTGTAAAACTGTTGCACAAACGCCTACACACAATGTCATTTTATCAAGCTGGGGGCACAAACCTTTGCAAGCCCACTCCGCTACCTGCCTCCCTGTGAAATATCTGGGGAACCCTTGCACAAACACGCCCGCGCACTTGTACACAAACTTGCCTTCTATACAACGGGGGGGGGGCACACGCGTCCCGACACGCGCGCACCCACCCACTTTAACCTATCTGTAAAATTCGGAGAGGAATCCTTTGCACGCGCACGGATCCACGCGCGTAAGTAAACACGCAAGGCACACCTGCTTTCTCACAGACTTCTGGGGGGAATCCTTGCACGCGGGCACACACGCGCGCAAACACTGAGGCGGGGAAGGGAGGGGTCCACCCATTTGGGCCTTCCTCCTCCGGAGTTCGAGGTAGCGAAGGAGTCTGCAGCATTGACTGTCCGGCCTGGTCCAAAGTCGTGTTTTTTTTGTCCTCCCGTTTCGCTCCCGGCCCAGAGTTTCGCCTGGAAATCCCGCCAGCAGCTCCAACCCTCGGGCAGAGGGAAAGAAAACGAGAAGGGC